AAAAAAAAAGGTCACGGTCTTGCTCAGCGTATGGCAATTGTTCGGTTGTCATGGACCCTAGCTTACGTGGTAACAGTGAAATTCACAGTTGTTATCTTTATTTGTTTTGAGTCACTGCAGTAAAATTAACATTAAAAAGCTGAAAAAGATAAGATGGATAACACAGAGAACTGGCACATATGACTGATTAGATACGACTGATCACAATGCTGTACCTTTGCCTTGGCACAGATTTAGATCAGTTCAGCCCTGACATCATATCCTGCTCTCCACTGCCCCCCTCCCTCCTCTCTGCATGTCATCCTCCCTTCTCCGAGCCCCGAGGCTTCCAGCCACCTCCATACCCTCTCCTTATCCTGTGGGAAGTTTCCACTCGCGCCTGGCCTGCTGTACCTGACCTGAGAGCAACTCTTAATATTTCACCAAGGCCATGATAATGACTAACCTGCTCTACCTTCAGTCCTGCATGCACTCTGCTTTATGGCCTCATTTGTGAATATTCACAGAAGATTAGCACGAACGCGAGCCGTTGCGGGTTCATTAAGCCTGAGATTACGATCTCTGGCTATGGAGCGTCGCATTATGCTGCTCAATATTTCCGTGGTTAAACCTCACCTATCACCCCCCCCCCCCNNAGTGCAGCATCTGCATGCGTTTGTTGCCAAGGCAGGTGCAGCAGGTTTTCTGTGGGCTGGTGCCAGGCTGTAATAATCGCCCTTCTCCCATTGCTGAACCTTAGGTGTGGCCATCTGTGGTTTCACTGTTGCCTTAGAGATGTTCCTGGTTTTGGTTTATTTCCACAAAACCCATGTCTCTGTATCTCTTTCCTACCCTTGTTCCTGACCCAACCCTCTGTCTCTCCTTGTGTCTCTCTCCTTCCCCCACTGTGCTGACAAGCAGCCCGGAGCTATGGCCGCAGAAGAGGTAACGTGTGGCATTTTCTCTGGGGGTTCTGTTTGCCATGCCGGCCGGGTCTCTCTCCGAGGCTGAGGGGGGTCTTGGTGTGGTGTCACTATCTGCTTTTCATCTGTGCTGTGATCGAATGAAATCATGTTAATTTTGGCACACAGTCATGTTATGCATTTAATCAACATGGGGCAAGTGTCCACCAAATCTGCCCATATGAATCTTGTTTTGCTTGATGGTGAGAGGAAAAAAAAATCTGTCTACCAATTTTCTTTTCTCTCTATTCTGAGTCAGTGTTCTACCTGTAATATTTATAACATGAGAAATAGTGCAAAATAGGGAAGCTGTATTGCAAATGCATCCCACTGTAAAATAAAAGTAACAGCAGTTCTAAAAACATATGATCTCTCTGCAGTATTTGGGATGGACTCCATTTCTGAAGTTACCAAATAAAAGGCTAAACCTTTTCAAATGTTAATGCATGTTTGGGTCCAAGATGAATCTCGAGGGCTTTGTGAAGGAGTATGCTGACTCAGAAGTGATTCATCATCATCTGAATGGCAAAGATCGGTGCTTCCAACATGGATCATCTCTGATTTGATGTGCTTTTTTTTTTTTTGACTAATTCTGTCTTTCTTCACGAAGGAGGAAAGCTGCAATGTGACATTTGAAAGGTCACTGCAATATGAGGCTGGGGTTGTGTGTTATATAGCATGGTGAATGTCTGAATCCGATTGCTTTCAATAAAAGGTGTTCATGAGGTGCTGACATGAACACACATAGGAGAGATAGAACGTGCAATATTTCTCACTGTGTAAAGATGTAATTGCTAAGCACATTTTTTACAAAGTCAAATATCAACCCTGTTAAAGAAAGAGAGTTGTTCTACTGCATAGAACATACATATTACATTTGGACAAGCTACATTGCTGCACCAGTAGGAGGCTCCCAGTGGGTAACATGGTGTGTTTAGCCTCTCACTGCCATGATGTGCCCTACTAGGAGAGAATACCATAACCATGCTCATTACTGGCTGATTAACAGTCCCTCCGTTCTCATTACGTGCTGCAGTTCAGCATGTTGCCTACCGGTAAGGAAGACTGGTATTGTAATGAGGATTAACAGCGGTACTCACCAGGAAGTTCCCAAGACGACGTTATGATATCATGATTATAATTTGATATACACTTTGGCCAAAAGTATGTGGACACCTGGACATTACACCCATCAACGTGATTGCTGAATATCTTCTTTCCACAAGGCTTTGGGACCTGGCAATCGCTGTGCGTTCATGGCTGTCCACATACTTTTGGCCACATGGTGCATTCTGTATGGGAGAAGAGAAATGTTCAAGGGTTTAGTCGGAATTGTGATGGTAATCCCAACATCCAAACTGATTATGCTACAGTAATAGTTTCCATGTGCGATTAATTCACTCTTATCTCTCACACCCTCCCTCCCTTTTTACTTCACACTCTTGTGCCTCTCTGTCTTCCCCGTTTATCCCTGTCTGTCTTCCTGGTGTCCTTCTCTTTTCCTCTCCTCCCAGGTCGCTCCTGTCTTTTTCCCTTTGAGGATGGTTTCCTCGACGACGGCCACGGTGACCCCTCCTTGACCCCGGGCCTGAACTCGCCAACCCGCTGTCAGAACGGAGAGAGGATGGAGCGCTACTCCAGGAAGGTCTTTGTCGGAGGCCTCCCCCCTGACATAGATGAAGGTAAACATAGACATACACACCTAGAGAATGGTTTTCACTCGACCTCAGGCTGTTTTTCAGCACGGCCCTGCTGCAGATTTGTTCTGATACATTCACACATACATTCACAGGAGTCTTTGTCTTTGGCTGTTTGCCACTAATAGTTACACTGAAGTATTTGAGCCTTGCTTAAGGGCACCTTGACACTCCTTGTTGAAGATATTAATTTAACACACTATTTCGCCACCATAAACTACAGTTATAAAGCCTGGCTGGTACAGTTTGAAGCTTTAACACCAATGACATTTAATTTTTGACATTTAAAGGAATAGTTAAACATTTTAGGAAATATGCTGATCTGCTGTCTTGCAGAGAGTTAACGCCTTTGCACACCAAGTCCGTATTTTTCGTCTGCGTTTTTTTCTTCCGCTTAAAATCATTACGCATAGAAACCTTGCACAATGATTGAGATGCTTCTAATCTTCTGTTTGTTGCAAAAATCACAATGCGAGACAGAGTCATCATGCAATGAGGACGATTTTGTGGTCCCCTCACTTGAAAGTTGAAAAAGAAAATATTGGGTCCAAGGTGTCAAGAACAATGAGAGTTTCACCTGCTGATGACTCGCTCTGGCTCTGCCTCTTTCTCCTTCTCTCTCTTTTCCTCCCTTGCTTCTCTAGTCAGTGTCTAAACTACAGACACAATGTGAGGTTGCATTTATTTATGTGCAACAATTTTGGATAAAAAATCTATTTATCTATCTTGGTGTGCAAAGGCCTTTTGAGAAAATTGGAACCACTCTCCTATGTGTATCAAATATGAAGTTACCACCAGCTGCTGGTTTGCTTAGCTTAGCACAAAGCCTGGAAAGGAGGGGAAACTGCCTCCAAGAAACAGTCTGGCAAAAATAATAACCACAAAGCCAAAATGTGTTGTTTTTACACTTGTATGGATTAAGAAAACAAGATATATATTTTTTTTACCTGAGGTTAGCTGTTTCCTCTGTTTCCAGTATTTGTGTTAAACTAAGCTAACTGGCTGCTGGCTATAGACTCACATTTAGATCATCTAACTGTAACTCTAAAAGAGTGTATTTCCCCAAATGTTGAAGCATTCTTTTTGAAAGGGAACCTTGACAATCCTTGGTGATATTCATTTTACCCAGAATTTAACCAGTGTAATTTTTCCTACTATTTACTTTTACTATTAAATAGCCTATATATGGCTATGTTTACTGTACAAACTTTACAGTACGTTTACTGTCCTTTTTTGACCAGACCTTGAGCCAAAGAATCACAGTAAATTTTACTTTTATATGCAGAAGAAATATCCATATTGAGAAAACTATTTTCTTTAATTCCAAAATCTCATGGACCTGTAATTGTTTCCACAAACTCTGGAGCATGGCAAACAGTTTAATGTTAATATGGAATACTTACTTGTCTGCACAGTTGAACAAGCACATGTACTACTGAGTTGATGCACAGTACGTGCCCTTAGCTGGTTGAAAAATTAATGAGTTTCCACAGCACGAGTCAGCCCAGACTGGATGTGCCCGGCCTGTGTTCCTGTTTAATGCAGTGGCTACTACTGCAGCAGGAACAGTGCAAAAAATAGAAACCGTGCCTTTCTCAGCACTGCGTGTGGCTCTGCATAGAGTCCTTCATATGCATATTAAACTAACCACGAATGTTATCTCATAATGCCATTAAGGAACATTCAAGTCTGTTTTTTCCTCTGTTTTCTTCATTCTTACAGATGAAATCACCAACAGTTTCCGTCGCTATGGGCACCTGGTGGTAGACTGGCCCCACAAAGCAGAGAGCAAATCCTACTTCCCACCTAAAGGTAATAACAGTTTCTCACAGAATAATCTGTATTTTCCCATCAGACATCAAAGTCCACACCAATAAACATCACCTTGGGTGCGCCGCCATTTTAGAGTTTTGTAAAGAATCGTATTACCCAGAATTCGTGGCTCATGCTGGGCAACCATGGAGGTGTCTGTTTATCTGAGTTACCCCCTGTAGGCATCTTGCAGAGAGACTCATACAGTATATAATGACTCCATAACTGGCCACCAAGAGTTTTGACCCTAGATGTGTTTGCTTGAATGAGTACCTGAGGAGTGTGAAAGTTATTCTCCTTTCTGTGCAGCCTCTCGGGTGTCGTTATCAGGCAGGTGATCAGAGTAGCACCAACCTCTCCCAAGCCTCTACATCACTCCCTCTGGCCCAGGAGCTGCTGTGTGTCATATTAGGAAAGCTATTAAAGACGCTCTGGAAATAACTAACATTCCATAGGCAGATGGTAATACGCTGCATCTGGAGGACCTGTGAAAATCTCTGCCAGTTTCTCCCCCACTCTCATTTTTCAACATCCCCTTCTTTTTTTTTTTTTTTTTAGCTTGGGAGGATTATTTTGAATAGGCTTGGCTCTACTAATATCCAAAGCCAGGAGGAAAAATGCAGCATCCTTTTAGGGGAATGAATGAGCTTACGGCAGCTGGAGGACGCCGCCATGTAAGGGGAGGAGACATGTGGGACTAGTGATCTGTGTAGAATTCATCTTGCACTCTAATTTAAACCCCCCCCACTCCAAAACTCAGAGGGAAACTGTGAAAATATCCTGTTTATGTCACACTCTCCATATTAACTGGCAAGGGAACTTGGGCAGATGCCTGGTGACAGAGTTCTTAGCACTAATAGCTTCAGGGTTGAGAGCAAGTGCACATCTGCGTGTGTGTGTAAGCGTGTCCTACTGCCGGGTGGACTGTGTAACGGCTGATTTACGGATGTGGGATTCGCATCAAGAGGTCATCGGCCTCTCCTCGTGTTAAACGTCCTTCCAAGCTTGACTGAATGGAAGATAGTTGTCACTTTCCGTCCTCCTTCACATTAAACTGCCGGCGATGTGTGTCTGTACAGTTATGAAAGTGTTTTGGTTTAGGGATGACTCATATTGTGGCTCAGTCCCACTTTAGGGACAAGCTATTTGGTGCTTGGAGAGGAAGTAGGAACAGGGATCAGCTAACTGTGCTCCATGCTCTTATGTTTTCATGACTGCAATATTGTATTGGCATTTCCCCCCAGTACATACTGTACATTGTCACACATCGTCTATCTGTAACTTTGTCTATCAACAACTCATTGAAGCTAGATATGTGATATGATAATGTTGAGTACTTTTGCGATGTATTGTGATAAATGCAATTTTAGGTTTTTGTTAAATGGAGAGTAGTCAAATTCTCCCATTCAAGATATATTTTATTACATTCTTCAAGATGTCTTGTAGAAAAAAGATGAAATAGTCACCATAATGGCGGCAAATTTGATCATTGAGTGACTGAAGGGTAGTAGATTGAATAGTCGTTAAACAAGACACAACATTTTGTAATGTTGGCCATAGATTTGCTCCAAACTGAGCATTTTAGCTTCTTTTAGCTTGTTGTTTTGGTTTTATGGCCTGCAACTTTACAGTTTTGCTTCACTCTCATTAAGCTCAGTTCTAGACACAACAGGCTGCTGTATTCAACAGATGAAGCTCTATAGAACCCACTGTACCCTACCTGCCTAACACCATAGTGGAGCTTTTAGCTGCTAAAGAGCCAGATATTTCCCTCAGGAGCCGGTAGAGACCAAAACAGAGCTGAAAGGAGAGTAAATATTGCCAGAACCATTACTCTAAATAAGTGCAAATATTGTTCTGTGCCTGCTGCATGTGTAAATAACTTGCTAACACGTTCATCATATAACCTTTATAAGGAGATAATATGTCAGTGTTGTATTTGCAGCTTGTTCTGATGCCACCAAGTGGTCAAAAATCAGTTTAAGCTGAATTTTTATTTTTTATTTTTACCAGTAACTTTTTTCTTCTTCTCATTTCTCATTTCTTGGCCATCTGGCTCTTAGAATAAGTCTGACCACTACGCTCTGATTACTGTGGTTGTTGGCAATAAGCTTGAAATGTTATGGAGCTATTTCTGTCTCTGATTGGCGAAAGGAGGAGGAGGAGGAGGAGGAGTAGGAGTGCTGGGAGCCTGGGAGCTATAAACTGCTACAAATGCTAATGCTCACGTCACACTGCAATAACAGTGTGTCAGACTTGTTTGAAGGCTTCAAAAGGTCACAACAGAAGTCAGCCAGTCATTATCAGCTTTTTTTATGCTGTCAAAATGGACATTCAAAACAGAAATCTGTATTTTCTTGTGCTGCAGTGGCAACAGTCGCAGTATTACATCGTACTGCATTACTCGGGCCTTGATTTCTCTTTTCGTCCTCATGTTGGGATTATATCCAGTGAGTGACTTCTTCAAATTCAGATGATTAGCGACGCTTGATTTCCCCCCCTCCTCTACTGTTATCACTGACTACTCTCCAATTGCTCCAAAGCCTCGGGGCCTGTTTGTTTTTTGGAGAGCAGATGTTTGTGTCTCTGTCCATCCATCTTGCCAATTCTTCTTCTTTTTCTTCTCCTCCTTCCCTCCCCAAACCTGTTTACATTTTGCGGCGTGTGAGTTTCAGCCCTCTGCAGGTTTCGGTCTCTCTGTGTCCTCTCATGGGATAGATAGCATACATACAGGATTTGGCTTCATATATGCTTTCACACAGAACAGCCTCCAGACTTTTGAAGCGGGCCGATGTGTGTTTGCTGTTAGGGCGGCTGTTTCTCTGATGGCGAGTGGCTGATTTATTTCTCGGTCATTCTGGTCGTCTGTGGCCTCGCCTATGTGCAATCTGTTGCTGAGTATGAAAAGATAAGCCCGGATTTAAATGTCACTGTTAAAGCCAGAGAGATGCACAGTGTGGCTATGCTCTCTCGGTTTATCTAGTCATCATGGGTTGGATTTCAGCAAAGTCAACACAACTTTCAGTTGATGAGGTAATGGAGAGAATAGGATAGCAATGTGGGACTTTGATATAGCAATGGAAAGATGTTTGTGTACTACTTAGTGACTGACCCTAAAGTATCAGTTCCACTGTGGTATGTGGATAATGTAAAGTATCAGCTAGCACCAGGTACCGAGGCAATACTTTGACTCAGCAGTGTATTTTTAGACCTTTTAATCTGGGTTCAAAACTCAAAAGTAATGGAGGTATTAGCATTTTCTGGGAGTTACTTGACCTCTGACATACGTCACGTATTTGATTCCCTTGCAATGGAAAACACTTAAAGGAATTCTTTGACATTTTGGAAAAGATGCTTTCTTGCAGAGTTAGATGAAAAGATTGATATCATCCTTGTGTCTGTATGGTGAAGCTACAATCAGCTGCAAGTCAGTTTAGCTTAGCACAAAGACTGAAAACAGCTAGCTAGCTATACCATGTTTTATCTAACCAGATTTTGTCCCCTTTGGACCGAGCCAGGCTAGTAGAGATCAGAGTGGTATCAGCGAGTGAGCATATTATGTCCCAGAATGTCAAACTGTTCCATTAATACCTGTCTCCCATTAACCCACGTAAAGCCTAGCCTAATGCTATTTTTAGGCAGCAGTTTGCTGATTAAGTGTCTGCAGTTAGTGAGTTCATGTCTTTGTTTTTATGGTAATTTAACAAATTGTCATCAGGTTGCTGTTGAGGTAACTGCTGGCCTCCATTACAGGAAACACTCTCTCCTGCATGAGGTCATCGGTTTGTCTGCGCAACCCACGAGGCACTCTGCCTATCGTTTGTCTGTGAACGCGGCTCTTTGGGCTGGAAAATGCTGCTGGTGTACGTATTCCGTTCCTCCCAGGACAGTGCTGGGAGCTCAGCAGCAAAGCCCTATAAATCTCAGGCACGAGCCACTGCAGATCTGCGCTCTCCTCCCGTGGTGTAAGCCTCTGCACTGCGCAAGGCTGATGGAAAAAGACAGATCCTCAGCACCATTCAGGCTAAATATTAGAGTATTAAAATGGCATAGAGCCCTATGGAACCTGGTACAGTCTGCTTTAATGGTAGGACTCAAGTGTTGACGCAGTTTAATGCAAAGCCATGACGTATTCATTCAAATATGTACACACCGATGGAACTGAGACATACTGTGTCCTGATGGAACCTTTTATTGCCAGAGGAATCTGCAGAAGTAGAGAATGATGGGAGTAATACTAAACCCAAGTAGCTTATAGCACAGATCATGACACAGGTTTTCTTTTACAGTTTGGTACAATACAAGCCAGTGACTTCATTTATTTGATAACAAAAACCCCACACAATTATTAGATAATATTCCTATGATATTGCCCAAAATTGAACTGTAATATGGTCTAACTGTAATATATTTGCACTTTTATTATTATTAATAATAATAATAATAATAATAATAATAATAATAATAATAGACAGAAGTCTACTTATAAGATTGTAAAAGTTTTCATTTTCCTGGCAGTTGGTGTCCTCACTTGTGAATTTAATTTAAACAGGTTTGAAGGATGTAATAGAAGTCGTTTACCGGCTTTTTTACGACACTTGCAGTGTGAAATTGAGTGTAAGGCTTTCCAGGCCTCTTGCGTCAGTTTTGTAACTTTCTAACGGGGTCCATTAAAGTAGCAGCTTTGCGTCTTCTTCAGATGCCGGTGTTCCTTCTGTGTCATTCATGCTACTCCTCTCCTTCTCTTCCCTACCTTTTCTCACTTTTCCCCTCTCTTTCCATCTGTCTCACTCCTCTCCCCCTCCTTCCTTTCTCTCTCTCTCTC